AGACTCATCAACACTTTCTGTTACAAATTCAACATCGTTCCCAGACTCATCAACGCTTTCTGTTGCAGGTTCACCTTCCTCTGTAACATCTTGAAGATTCTTTTCAAAGGCAGTTTCAAGCTCCGTGTACAAGGCGTCTTCCACAGTAATTACGGGCGAAACGTTACTGCCGTCCTCCAAACCATCTTCGTGTTGCGCTGGTGGTAGATCAAGTTGTGCATCTCTAGCTCTTTGTCCCACAAATTCTGTCAAAGCTTTTGCATGTTCCTTCCGAAATTGTTTCTCACAAGGCATATCAATTTGACCATCCTCTTTTCTGTGAAGTGTCTCCAGATTCTCCGAATATTCGCAGGAACTCACAGGAGAATAGAGTGATGCATTCTCTCTGGACTGCTCTGATCGTTTAAAAGACATGAATACTTTCTCGGTAAGCTCCCGATAATTGGAGATATCTCGAGATGTAAAATTTTTGGATTGTTCAAAATCTGGAAATTTCTCTGGGGAAGATAGAATATATCGTAAATCGTTTCGATTCTCTTGTTCCTTTCTATAGATCACAAGGTATTCGCAACGATGTTTCTTGTGGTCGAAGGTGATACCGAATGCTTTTCTGTCACTCAAGAAACTATAGTATCGACTCCCAAAACCATCTTTATTCTTCAGCACATTTGACATCGCTATCCAAGAAGAAATACTAGCAGGGTCCACTAGTCCATTGTTACACATTGACCTGATGTTGAGCAGGATCATCATGTAGACAACATTTTCTGCAGAATCAATCAAATTATTCTCGATATAAAAAATCTCTTTGAACTGTTCAAATACAATTCTCATGAAGAGTGCCAGTTCCTCCCCCGAAAGAATGTCCTCAATTTTCCCTGAAGTTATAGGTGGTCCCCTCAATTTCATAAGTATCACTAACGATGCCTTAATAAAATTCTGACATTGTGATTAGTACTGGTCTTCTCGAAAAAGAATATACCAAACTCACTATAACATTGACGATAATATAAGCCACAAGATCTCCTTCCCTACCATCAATAGGCAGAGACAGAAGAGCGGCGAAGTATTTCTTAACTGAGCCGGCATATCTCAAAGACACGCTCGACGTATGCCTTTGAATAGCATAAGTTGAGAGGCCATCTTGGAGAAAGGGCATCGCAGCCTCCGCTTTGACGCGTAAATTCCTCAAGACTGGATCTTCTGAAGCAGTGGCACCGTGTTGATTATCCTCAGCAATCGCGTCCATCTGTGATTCTTGAGGCTTGTTTAGTTGTAACTGGCAAAAGAAGTAACTTCTTGGAAGACTTTATTGAGAAATTGCTGGAAGTTTTCGTTGGCAATCCGAGTCGCGAGATGTCAATTTGGAGTTGAAGAATTCCCAGTTTACGGTTAAGAGGAATCAACAGATCACAGCTAGACGGAGTTTGCTTTAGTCAAAATACAACTTAACGCGTCTATTTCACCTTGAAGTGTGGTGAACCGTACTGATGTAGTACGTAGACCGAAACTCCTCCCATGGTATACCTATAGCAATCTTTCTCTTCACTAAGAAAACGCGTTCTTGTTTCGAGATTGGCGCTCAACCCCAGAAAAGCGCGTCTTGCAGCAGCCTGGAGGTCTCTGTTGTCGCGGTGATATGTGTAGACAGTACTGGATGCACTGCTCTGTGCAAGTTTGCGAAAAAGTAAATGGTAGGAGCAGCCGTGGAAGCTCTCACTCACCACATGATAATCTACCTGTTCTTTATAAAACAGGATATTGCAACAACAAACAGACTCGGCTAGGGCACTAAACGGCAAACTTATGGTCTATAATATGGTAAAGTTAGATTTGTCTTCGTTTTTAAAGAGTTTTGTTCTGCCCAATTTCATAGAACGAAGAATAGAACATAAAATCAATTGATTATGTAATGAAAGCCGATTCCGGATTTCTTATGTAATCAGTCATAATTGCGAATTTTGGTTTGGTGCACTGTCCAGTCCTTAGTCCCATGCCGGTTTGTCTCCAACTTTGCTGATATTACGTGTTCCAACCACTTGATTATGTAATACTTGATTTTTTCTAAAAAATATGTGAAATTTTTGTTGTTCTCGTTGGAGGGTTAAAAAAATGCAAAATTTAAATATCGAGGATGCCCCTCATAGAGGTAAAATTTAAAATACTGAGAAGATTATGCTGATTACTGCATTGGATTGTTCAGTCTGTGAGTAGTGGTGGCAACACATTATAACTGAGACTATTGGGTAAAACTTAGCTGTCGGGCCAACTTCTAATTGTGCGGTGTTTACGGTCTAGGTACACCCAGACATCTCACTTACGTAATGTCCGCACACACTCTTTTTCTCGCCTCTTTTGAGCGCACACAGTTGTACACTCAGGCTTCATTTGTTTACTTTGGTGTTGTTCATTTCCTTCACACACGTTCAGAGATGGCTACGAGATCAAGAGCTTTAGCAGCGTACAGACACGCCCTCAAGGCCACGCAGGTTGCATTCCAAGGTGAGTACGATACGGACTTTAGTGTGTTATTTTTCTCTTTAAAGCACTCTTATTAATACCCGTTGAAATCAAGGTGATGTTGCTCTTTTGAACGCCTCCAGGGCCGAGATTAGAAAGGGCTTCAACCAGCCGGATGAGACCAAGAGCGTGGAGGAGCGTATTACGCATTTGGAGGAGGTGTCCAAGTTCCTGATGAGCAATATCGTCCAGGGAAAGCGTCAGGACAACGGCAAAATCCACCTGAACATTCACGAGGGCACGGAGCTTGGAGACAACGAGAGCATCAAGAACCCGAAGCCAACGATGGTTGCTGGAAGAGGCTCTAAAGGTGGGTGCTGTGGCGGCGGCCAGCGTGTGCTGAAGCAGAAGGGGGCTTCTGCTTAAAACAGCGTGCGTAGGACATGACTCATGAGGGCATTGGTTTCTGGTGGTTATTGGAGACACGTACCGTCTTGTTCTCTCTTTAAGCTGTCCTTCCTGAAGTCATTAATGTATATAGTCATTTCACAGGGAAATGTATTTACTTTTGTTGTTTCGTTATATTCCAAGGTTTAATCGAGTAAAAAATCACACAGCTTGTCAGTGTTGAGACGCATGGTGTAACTTTTGTAGAGGCCATATGGGCATTTTGAAATTTTGAACCCTCCGCAGTGTTGAAACTTCGCATTCTCATATACAGAGACACGTGTAACAGGAGATGTCAGATCCCAGCAAAAGAGACGTTACAATCTCCAAAGCACTGAGCTACCTGCTGCGCCACGGGGCTGTTAAAGAAGGGTTGACCATCGATTCCCTGGGATATGTCCCACTGAACCAAGTACTGGAACACAAGCGACTGAAGTCATTGAAAGCTACAGGACAAGATGTGGAACGTATAGTTGCAAATAACGACAAAAAGAGATTCACCTTGATGACAGCAGACGACGGACAAGTACAGATCTGTGCTAACCAAGGCCACTCTCTTAAAAGTGTAGGTGACGACAACCTACAGCTTGTTGGCACTGAGACAGTGCCATACCCTAAAGTGTTGATACATGGAACAACAAAACCAAAGGCCGAGCTTATTGTGAAGACAGGTGGATTGTCCAAGATGAATAGAAACCACGTGCACTTCACAGACCTTGAGAACACTGTGGGTAAACAGGTGAGTGGAATCCGTGGGTTCAGTACCGTCCTGATCTACATCGACATCGACAAGTTCAAAAAGAGTGGGCTGCATCTGTACAAGAGTCTCAACAACGTCTATCTCAGTCCAGGCAATGACCAAGGGATCGTACCAAGTGACCTGTTCCAAAAGATAGTCGATAGAAGCTCTGGAGAAGCCATATTACTGTAGTGCCATACAGAGCCCGTTTGGTGATGATGGAAGTGCTCACAACACATCCGGACACCCACAGTGGTCAGCTTCATATCCATAGAGCTCATGACTTTACAGATGGATAGATGGGGATATTAGGCAAATGTCTTTAAAATCCACTGGGTTTCAATCCACGTGGCACAGTTACTATAAGGCAGTTAGATTACCACCTCACGGGAACATCCATACACGGTGCTCATGGTACTTCTTGCAAGCAGTCGCAAGGCGTTGTATCCAATGGTGCAGCACCAATTCGAGAAGAAACTACCTAGAAAGCAGAGAGCCGGTAAAGGTGGTGGAAGCAATAGAAAACCTCGAATCACAAATATTGTATACACAACAGCTCATGTATTGATGAATGTCTAGGGTAGATAGCCAGATCTGATTACATAATATGACGTAATCGCTCTGCCACAGGGAAACAACATCCGTACACCACTTCATCACCACTGGTGGTAAAATCCCCATGGTATTTTCTCCCTTTCCCTCTTTGTTTATTATTTTGGTTGTTTTCTCTTCCTTCAGCCAGATCTTGATGCTGTGAGGTTGTTGTTGATTAGACAGAAGCACTTAGAGATGGTTATTCGCCAGGAGCAGGAAACTCCGTTGATAGGAGCTGGGAACGAGTATGGCCAAAAGCCCAACGGAGTAGAGATTGCTCGAGATGAACGTGGACATAATCCTAACGGGTTATTGGAGGCTCCAGAGCAGTTACACGGACATCTACAGCCTTCAAGGAGTAAACTGTATGCTGTTATTGCACTGTTCATCATTTCTCTGATCTCTTTTGTCTCACAGACCGAGCTGACGAGCTATCTTTACAAGTCACTTGATTTCAACCAGCCTGTTTTGCTTCTCGTTATGACCCACTCTTCATGGATACTCATATGGCCATTACAGGTGCTTTCGATCATGCTTTATAAGCATGTTAGACGTTGTCGTAAGTTTGGATTGCACTATCTTGACTCTGTGCATATAAAGAGGAACTTTGCTGAGAGTTTCAAGAACCAGCACCGGAACATCTTCAAGACCTCCACGGTTTTGAAACCCACAGCACTGATAAGCCCAAGTTCTACAAAGGAATTCATCCAAAGTGAGCCGATCAAGTTCCTGACTGTGCGCGTCTTCATACTCTCGATCATCTTGAACGTTGCTGGTTTAACCTGGTACGTTTCAATGCAATGGTCCCCTGCATCTGATATCACTGCAATATACAACTGCTCAGCGTTTACCGCGCTGGTATTTGCTATCCCTATTCTAAACGAAAAGTTCACCTATACAAAGCTGTTTTCAGTGCTGTTGGCAGTGTTTGGAGTGTTCTGTGTTGCCTTTGGAGGTGACGATGAGGATTCCCGAAAGGTGTTCCCTCAAAGAGTACTGGGCGACATCATAATCACATTTGGTGCAATCCTGTATGGGTTGTACGAAGTGCTCTACAAGAGACTGATGTGTCCACCGGTGGATTCCGTTTCATCCAGGAGATTGATGTCTTTCAGCAATTTCTGTGCATCTTTAATTGGACTGGCAACGTTCTCCATTGGTTGGATCTTTATACTTGTTGCCGATATCACTGGAATCTCCAAGTTTAGATTCATAACATCGCTGTATTCCTTATGGATTATTTGGCTCTCTGTGGTTTCCAATCTGGTATTTTCCCTCTCATTCCTTGGCCTGATGTCGTTGACGTCGCCTGTTTTATCCTCAGTCTCATCATTAGTTACTATACTGTTTGTTGGCCTCTTTGAGTGGCTGGTGTTTGGCGTTTCAATCAACCTTGGACAGCTACTCGGGAATTTACTGGTTGTTGTTGGGTTTGTTGTTTTAAGTTACTCGTACTGGAAGGAGATTACAGAGGAGGACGTTGACGATACCGAGGAGATCGACCCTACAGACATTGAAACCTTGACATAGCTGAGCACCAAGTTGTGTTAGAGTGGTGCGTAGCTGTTTTGAACCGTGTATAGTTGTTTTGAACCGTGTATAGCTGATCTTGACTATGTGTAGCTGTTTTCAGCTGTGTCTACATGTGTCTGCTAGCTCGTAAACACCAGACAACACAACAGAACGAACCTTGACAGGATGCTTGCGTCTCTGACCAACGTTACCGAGCTGCGGACGCGTCATTCCTCTTTTTTCATCTTCTGAGTCGCCAAATCGACGCGTCAGTGCAAGTAGTGGGTGAACTGTAAGCCGTTCTATACATCTACTAAACACGCTTTTAACAAGAACAAAGCAGAAGAAGCACACGTGTACGTGCCATATCACCACCGTCTAAACCCTCACAGAAAGAAACAGCTTACCAGGAGAAAGAACAAGAGCGCTTCACCGTCAGCGAAACGCGTCTGGGTGCCATCCGCTTCCACGCGTTTCGCGTCTCGCATTCCACACCACTTCCGGAACGTTCTGAAATCCGGAAATATCCCCTTCCTCCCCTGCGCGATCCTTTGGAAGGGGCACGCTAAAAAAAGAAACCGTTGATCGGAATTTTTTGCAGCGTACCTTTTGATGTTTTCCTGGTTGTTGTTGTTTTCCCTCCAGCATTCTTCTTCCCTTTTTCTCTCTCTCCAACCATTGAAAGGGGCCCGTGATTATTCTTTCTTTCTCTGTACGAGCCTGGTGAACGAGGAACGCTACGAGGTCTGTCCAAGCTGCTTCCACTGCCTTCTTTCTCTGCTCTTTGAGTCGTCATCATTCCAACGTGAGACACAAATCTCCACTGGGACACAAGTGAGGTATTCGAGCCCCCACAAGACGCTGAAGCTCGAGAGAAATGTCCTTGTCCACATCCGCTACGAACTTTAGGGATGATGATTTCATCAACCCAGGGCCAGCGCCGAAGCCTCCGGCTTCGGCCAGTGCTGTGCTCTCCACCGCTACCGGTGGCTTGACGATATCAACACCTTCCTCTTCGAAGATCATCAGGAGACAGGGATGGGTGCAGGTGAAAGACGAAGGCATCATGTCGTTCAGATGGCCCAAGAGGTACCTGGTGCTGAACGATTCAAATATGATTTTCTACAAAAACGACTCCAAGGATGAGATCTGGCTGAAGATCTCGGTCACCTCCATCGTGAACCTCTCGAGAGTGCAATTGAGACCTTACTGCTTTGAACTGATCCGCTCCTCAGGTGGGAAGAAGTCGCTGTACATCTCCTTAAAGACTTTGAACGACTTGTACGGCTGGCTAGACGCAATATTCGCCAAATGTCCCCTTACAGGGACGGTGTCGAGTCCAACAAACTTCACTCATAAGGTCCATGTTGGGTTTGATCCCTCAAGTGGCAGCTTCACTGGCCTGCCTGAGAACTGGAAGAGACTATTGCAGCATTCCCAGATTACCAATGAAGATTGGACAAAGGATCCAGTCGCAGTGATTGAAGTATTGGAGTTTTACCAGGATCAACAACGACAGTTGGCAAACTCAGAAGGTGAATTACAACATGATCAACAACAACAGCATCAACAGCATCAACTTCAGCGGGACCAGCAACAAGGCTTCCACTTGTCAAAGGGCTCAGAGTCTTCAAACTCGTCAGGGTCAAGCTCAGATAATAGGGATGGAGGCTCAAGGTTGCTGACAGATTTGTCTAAGCCTTACACTCCCCAGAAACGTGATTCACCGCCAAAGGTGATGCCTTACTACACAACCTATAACTCCTCATCTTCCTTGAACAACAACAACAACACTTCCACGTCGTTAAACAACCCAATTGTCCAACCTCATGATTTGCTTCCAACGAGAAGAGCTCCACCTCCTCCAAAACCTTCAGTACCTGTTCCAACACCTGTTTCAGTACCAAGCTCCCAAGTGACGAATATGAACAATGCATTATTACACTCGGATTCATCGTTGAAGTTGAACCAGCAGAATACACAGGTACCAGAGCTGAAGTTGAATACTCCTGTGTCACAGGCTATACCGAATCCATACATTGATTCCCCATCTGAGTCACCAACGAAAGGCCAATTCAATCTACAACCATCTCGTCACGCTCCAAGACCACCACCACAAGTTCAATCTCAGCAGCAGCGTCAACAGAGACAAATTCAACAACCACAGAGAGCTCCACCTCCACCACCACAAGTTCAATCTCAGCAGCAGCATCTAACATCACAACAGCAACATCCCTTCAATCAGCCTACAAAGCCATTACAACCCCAACACCACCCAGGTTATAAGCCTGTTCATAGACCTCCCCCACCACAGAATCAACCACTTCATAAACACCAACATCAACAACGGCAACCACCACCTCAGCTGCAATCACAACAACAGCAGCAACAATCACAACAGAGGAAGCCTACTCAGAGTCCAGCACAAGCTGCTGCACAGGCTGCAGCTCAAGCAGCGCTGGATTCAACACCAAGTAAGCCTTCCAAATCGGTCAAGGACAGGAATGAAGAGCGCAGAATTGCTGCAATGCATGAGGCACAGAGCATGAAGAACCTCAAAGCAGTGGTTCGTAATGTTGATCCAGAGCCTTACTTTGAAATGATTGAAAAGGCCGGACAAGGTGCAAGTGGTGTTGTCTATTTGGCTAGATCTCTAAAGCGTGGAGGATTGAAGGTGGCTATCAAACAGATGGACTTGAACGCACAACCAAGAAAGGAATTGATTGTTAATGAGATATTGGTGATGAAAGATTCTCAACATAAGAACATTGTCAACTTCTTGGAGGCCTTCTTAAAGAACTCTGAACTGTGGGTTGTCATGGAATTCATGGAAGGTGGTTCCTTAACAGATGTAATTGAAAATAACGACAATTGCCTAGAAGAGGATCAGATTGCAGCTATTTGTCAGGAAACTACAAAGGGATTGAAGTTCTTACATAACAAGCACATTATCCACAGAGACATCAAATCTGATAACGTGTTGTTGGATTTGAAGGGTAACGTTAAGATCACAGATTTTGGATTCTGTGCTAAGCTCAGCCCTCATAAGAACAAAAGAGTCACCATGGTTGGAACTCCTTATTGGATGGCGCCTGAAGTCGTCAAGACAAAGGAATACGATGAGAAAGTTGACGTTTGGTCTTTGGGTATCATGACTATCGAGATGATTGAGGGAGAGCCACCATATCTCAACGAGGAGCCATTGAAAGCTCTGTTCTTAATTGCTACAAACGGTACGCCAAAGTTGAAGAACCCAGAGAAACTCTCATTGAGCATAAAGAAATTCCTCAGCATTTGTCTATGTGTCGATGTCAAATATAGAGCTTCAACAGATGAATTGTTACAGCACGATTTCCTCAAGATGGCCTGTGGATCTGAGAGGCTGGCAAAGCTGTTACAATGGAAGACTACACCATCTGCTTGATTGTCTATTTTCTTTCTTTTCAATTCGTTAAAGGTCATAATATATGTAATCGGAAACAATACTTCTGCTGTTAGTCTTATGCGTCGTCATATCTTCTCTTTTTGTTTCTTATCGGATAATGTCATATCTTCTAACTCTTTTGATGCTCTAGACACCAATTTAACACTGCTTCTCTTGAAAAAATTTGCACTCACTGGACTTGTAGACACAGCCCTTCTCTTGAACTTGTTCAGCGTGGCCGACGTTATAGTTGGTGTCTTTGGCGTATCATCATTATATTCATTTGAATCGAAACTTCTCTTTTTCCTCTGGTCTACCTTTTCTTCATCCTTACCGCTTGATGTCTCGACATGGAGACCCATTATATGAGTCCCATTCTTCTTCATATTCCAACTCTCGTTCGCCTTCTTGATTATGTCAAACTTCTTGTAACTCGAATTGTTCATCTCGATGGTCTTATCATTCTTCTTTGCCAAACTTGAGGTTAGATAGTGTTCTTCATCCTCTAAATTCAATAACACGAGCTTCTCGTGATTGATCTCATTCTCGAGTGGCACCCTTTCATACTGTAGCTCAGACGTAATCCTCCGAAATGCCTTTAGCTGTGGTTTCAAGGATTGTCTACTGACAAGTCTCTTGAATATGGGTGTTGAAGGGGAAGCGTCATCATCATTTTTCAGGCCGTGTCCATACACTTGCTGACCAGGTTTCTCATTGCTCGGGGTCATAGCGATTCCCAGTTGGAAATGTTCTCTGAACAGTTCATTGGATCTTCTTGAAGACCAATGTCTCAGAGCCATATCGTCATCTTCATCCTCATCATCCGAACTATCAACACCGGACGACTCAACACAACTATGGACGGCGCTGGAAGGCCCATACCCGGTGTTACTCCCATTAACATACACACCGGCGTTATTCTGGTCGTCCATAACTGTCATCTCGTAGAGTGAGCTCGATGAGGAACATGTATTTTGAATTGAAGGTCTCCTAGATAAGGTCATAGAGGGTGTATGAACCGTTGGAAAGACACTTGTTGGCAGCTGCTGCGGTGTCCGAGGCTCCCTGTACTCCTTTACGTCTTTCACCATCGCCTCACTTCCTGTCTACGCCTTCTTCCAGTGCTGTGAGCAATGGCTTCGCTGTGATGTTGTGGGTTCTCTGTGATGTTGTGTAGTTACAGTGGAGCGAGATTTCCCGGG